CCACATTGATACATGCATCTACATTGGCTTCCAGTGAAATTCAGGATAGATTTCAAGATTCTACTAATAACATTCAAAGTTATTCATGGACTAGCTCCTGAGTATCTACATGAATTGATCTGTGTAAAAGCACCATCTAGATATCATCTCAGATCGAATGATCAATTACTACTCTCACAGCCAAAGTTCAAATCACTAAAAACTTTAGGCGATCGCGCGTTTATATCAGCAGCGCCCAATTTGTGGAACTCACTACCAAATGACATTCGTAGTGCAAAAACAGTGGACCATTTTAAAAAATTAGTAAAGACACACCTTTTTAAGATTGCATTTTATTAATTTATTTATTAGTTGATATACCTTTGGACATATATGCGTACTTATATATAGAAATTTGAACTTGAATTGATATTCAATAAGACTTTAGGAACACATAATTTTTACTTAATTAATTTTAGCTTTTCATGTACATACACTTGTTTTTATCAATTATGTAATGCGCAGGTGAGCATCTCCCTATGGAACCTCGCGCAATATAAATTTAAATAATAATAATAATAATAATAAAGGAGTTGTGACAACCATAAACCGAGCAATATTAACGCGGCATGTTGACAAAATATAAAGTTGTGAAACTTGATAGTTTAATAATTACACAGTGTATACTTTTTGCATCCAGGGGGGTGCGAAAACAGGTGGCTTTCAAAAATATTATGTGGTCAGTGGTAAATCGCCCGAAAATAGTGGACGCGGAGCCAGTGAGCTCCATATATATCTGGAGTAGGAACTTGGTTGCTCAAAGTGAAGCCAGTTTCGTGTTAACCGTGCATACAAAAACAATAGAAAGGGACTGGAACTGACGTCCAACAGCTCCGGATTTTACTACATCCCGGGCGTTCTTTGTCAGTGCCCGCGATCACAATTAGAATTACCAGCGGTTGAGTTCGCAACTCAATATTCAAACATTTTCAACCAGATAAAAAAAGATTAAAACTTTTTTAAAGCACTTTAGATTTTATACCGATCCCAAACACTAACCGGCCTAACTTTTAAGAGTTAAAAAAGGAAGGAAGAAAAAAATTACAAAAAATTGAGAAAAAGAGCTAAATCAGATAATAAATGTTCGGTATCGATCCCGACCCCGACTGCGTTTCACTTTCGATACGCAGCGCCTTTACCGCTTGAGCTAACGACAAACTTGGTGAAGATAACCGCAAACAAAAGTTTTTATATTGCTACAAAATACGAAATAACTCCCGTCTGTCCAGTCACTTGGTTATTTTTTATTTGAGCTGCTATAAATGTTACTAGCTCATATAAGATCTGTGAAATTAGTGCTAAAACATAAACAGTTTTGTCAAAAAATTAAAAGGCAATATGTCTGGATCAAATAAACTGACTATAAGCAAACTGATATCTTGAAATATAGATTAACATGCTGACAAACTGTTACAGTTTAATCAAGTTATAAATTCACATCGAGTATTATATAATTTATATTTGGCTTTTAAGATGTTTTCTTTCAAACATTGTGATTTCAGGAAACACTCGATGTTATCATCATATACCGCTGATAATACTAATTGTGATCGCGGGCACTGACAAAGAACGCCCGGGATGTAGTAAAATCCAACAGCTCCTTCAATTTCCGCCATCTTGGCAAGGAGTGTGTTGAAATTTCGTATTTTGACTTCGATTTAAAGAATAATATTGTGATTTTATGAACTGAAAACTTGATTAGTGATATGGTCCATCAGAAAAAACTGGAATTAGCTGGGGAAAATGGTATAAAAACTGTTTACGACCTTCAGAGCTATTGGACGTCAATGGCCGCCATCTTGGATTTTTTTTGGCTTCACTTGGCCTATTGCCAAAACATCAGAAGTTCCTACTCCAGATATATATATATATAGAGCTCACTGCGCGGAGCTCGAAATCCGCCATGTCACAGAATAGGAAGTTATACCAGAAGCGTAACCACAGATGAGGTAGATACAGATGTGAATCTCACGG